TTGATTTAACTTTATTTGTTTTACTCTGAATTCAACATTCAGCATATCCAATTGTTGCAATTCATCCTGGCCTACATGTTCTCTTCGACCCAGGTCCAGGATGAATCTTACCATTTTGTTATGGGTGATATGTAGTCTGTCCTTCAGTTTTTTTTTGTCAAGGCAGAGTACCATGAAGAGCAAGCGTAGTCCCTATGACATTGTATAAGAGCTAGACATAGGGTCGTTCGAGCCTCAGTAGGTAGATATTGTGTTTGTCTGTAGAAGAACTTCAGTCTGGCAATCGCTTTCTTTGCTACATTGTTCCCTATCGTGTGTAGCCAGTTGGCCCAGTGGCTAACGCGTTGGTCTGGAGTTTGATGACTCTCTGGTCACGGGTTCTATCCCCGCCCGTAGTACGGTTAGTTTGCAACCGTGTCATTACGATTTCGAGAGTCAGTTATCAGTTCTCCTGACATGCTCGGGTCATAGGGGATTCCCAGATAATTCACTGAGGAAACTTAAATGGTGGGTTCCCATTACACTGGACATTAAAATTATTTACCCTCCTCAGTTTATGTTTCTTGCCAAAGAGTATTGCTTCCGTTTTCCCGAGGTGTATCGATAATTTGTTGTCTACTAACCATTTGCTGCAAGACACCAGTTCCAGTGTCATTGACATTAGCTCTATCTGAGTATGCTGTGGTCAGTGGTCACGCGAGGTCATCCTGTCCTAAGCTGTCTGGGAATTAGCGTGGGGTGCTACTGAGCACCATGGCTTGCTGTCGTATTTTAGAATCTGAGGTTAAAGTGTTGAAGGAGGTTCTACTTCTTCAGGATGGTTGGAGCTGGTAAGGAGGAAAAGTTACCAGCAGTGAGTTGGAAAGTGGCAGCCGCTTTATGTGGAAAGTGGTTCACAATTCAGGAAGAAGAAAGATAAGGAAGGTTAACAGAGAAGATGTGAAAATAGGAAATCGATTCTCCGTTCTCCAGGACAAGTGTACTTCAGTGGTTAGTGAGGTTAAAGGTACCACTAAGTCCCCTGCAAATCAAGGTAGGAATATTCTGATTGTAGGAGACTCTCAGGTAAGATATATGGACCATGTTTTTTGTAACAGAGATAGGAAGGTCAGACAGAGGGTGCACTCCCAGGAGCTGGTGTTGGTGACATAGTCAGCAGGTTGGATAATATTATGTCAGGTAATGGAAACAAGCCCATTATCTGTCTTAGTGCTGGTGGAAATGACTTTGGGAAGGGCAGGAGACAGGAGTTGCTGGATAAGTGTAGGTCAACCATAGAAGTAGTTAGGTCTAAGGGAGGGATCCCAATCATATGTAGCATCTTGCCTAGAAGGGGAGTGGGCAATGAATGGATGTCTAGGGCAGTTGGTATAAATTGCTGGCTAGACAGGTACTGCAAGGAACTTGCAGTCCCATTCATTGATAACTGGGACAAATTCTATGGTAAACGTGATATATATGCAAGGGATGGGGTTCATCTCTCTGGGGTTGGAGTGATTGCATTTGCCAATTCGATTGAGGGGGTAATTGATGACTTGCCTATGTCTTTAAGCTGTTAGACTATAGAGGTATGGGTGCTTGTGGGAAACAATTAGGCAAATATTACCAGGATACCCCAGAGATATGTTTCAAAGACAATATTCAAAATAAAGTGGCTAGTAATTGCAAAGCAATTATTCAACAAACAAAGAGATAGCAGAGGGCAACGAGTAACTAGCTCCCTTAAGGTTTACCATACAAATAGTAGGAGTCTAAGAAATTAGATAGATGAGCAAGATTATTTACAAGTGCATGGAATATAGATATTTTTGCTATAACAGAGACCTGGTTCAACTTGAAAGATAGAGAAATGCCTTCTGAATGCAACATAGAGGAGTATAAATTGTTGTGCTAGACATGATATAAGATTAGAAACATCGGACACAGAATCTGTTTGGCTACAGTTTCTCGAAGGTCGTGAAAAATTAATTTTGGGTGTGATTTATACGTCCCAAAACCTTGATAGAGAGTGCGGTAGGCTGCCATGGGACGAAATTTATAAGGCATGTAGATATGAAAATTGATTGGAACAATGTGATAGGAAATGTTTAGTGATTTTCTTCATAAGGTTCAGGATTGCTTTTTAAAACAGTTTGTGACAGAACCAACTAGAGGAAACAACCTGCTTGATTTACTTCTTGCCAACAAAGAATCACTAGTGTGTGATGAGTGGTTTAGAAAACCGGCAAGTTGAAGATTGAGACACTTATGCAACATACGGCCCTATGCTGTACATTCTACAGGACTGATGGACTGAACACATCGACTCCAGGCTGAGGGACTGATTACATCAAACTCCTCCTCTCCTTACACCTTTCTGCTTTGTATTGGACTGATGAAGCCACTGTGTGGCGAAACGTTTCCTAAATAAAGATTCCCATATGTTGCATAAGTGTCTCAATCTTCAAAGAATCACTAGTTAATAATCTTGAGGTTAATGATGAGCTTGGAGAAAGCGATCACAAATCACTTAGTTTCAAAATATAGTGGAATTACCCAGATAATTGCAATCAAGTCATTGTCCCAGACTTCTGCTTGGGCAACTTCATGGGGCTCAGAAATTGCCTGGGTGAGCTAAATTGGAATGACCTGGCTATGGGCCAGGTAGGTGGTGTTCGTTGCCAATATGACGTTTTTCAGAGCATAGTTCTAGCTGCCCAGACAACTTTTGTTCCGAGTAGGGAAATTAGATCTAACAAAAATGATCCCAAATGGATAAACAATAGATTAAAACATCCCATTGGTCAAAAGAGAGGCATATATAGGCGTATCAAAAAAGGGGATGAAAATTTAAAAAAATAATATGTTCAATTAAAAGGGGAAATAAAAAAGGAATAAGAAAAGCAAAAAAGGATTATGAGGCTTAAGTCGTAAGGGATTCGATGACTAACACCAAATGGGCTCTTTAAGGCATACAGAAATAAGATTAGGGACAAGATTGGCCCATTTAAGAGTAACTCTGGTCAGATCACTGACAGTGTTAAGGAAATGTGTGAACTTTTTAGCACTTACTTCCTATTAGTTTTTACTCAGGAAGAAACTAGCGAAATTCCAGAAATAATAAATTATGTAGAACAGGACGATAATAAACTATGCATGATTGCAGTAACTAGTGACATGATCCTCAGACAAATAGAGAAATTAAAACCTAACAAATCCCCAGGTCCTGATGAACTGTTTGCAAGGGTTTTAAAGGAATGTAAAGAGGACATGAGCATACCTTTGGCTAATATTTTTAACATATCACTACAAACTGGCATAGTGCCTGATAAGTGGAAAATGACAAACGTAATGCCTATGTACAAGGCAGGTGACAGGTCCTTAGCTTTGAACTATAGACCAATAAGCCTTACCTCCATAGTGGGAAAATTTATGGAATCGATAATTGTCAAGGCTATTCATAGCCATCTTGAAAAGCATACATTGATTAATGAATCTCAACACGGTTTTACAAAGGGGCGTTCCTGTCTTACGAATTTACTGACTTTTTTTCACTACGGTATTTGAGGAGGCAGATCATGGTATTGAATGTGATATTGTGTATATGGACTTCAGTAAGGCTTTCAATAGAGTTCCACATCAGAGGCTTTTGAGGAAACTTAAGGCACACAGACTAGGAGGAGAATTTTTTTCCAGGGTAGAGACATGGTTGACAAAGAGGCAGCAGAGAATTTGCATAAATGGGGAGAAATCAGAATGGGGGCACGTCACAAGCGGTGTTACACAGGAGTCCTTTGTTGTTCATAATTTACATAAACAATATAGATGAGGGAATAAATAGTGACATAATCAAATTTATTCTAATGATGACATTAGAATGATGATTTGAATAGACTGATGCAGTGGTAGGAGAAGTGGTAGGTGCAATTTAATATAGACAAATGCAAAGTTCTAAATGTTGGACAGGAAAATAACCATGCCACATATAAACTAAGTAATGAAGATCTTAATATTACTGATTGCAAAAAGGATTTAGAAGTACTGGATAGCAGTAATCTGAAGCCAAGACAACAGTGCATAAGTGTTCGCAATAAAGCTAACAGAATCCTTGGCTTCATAACAAGAACTATAAATAATAGAAGTCCTCAGGTTGTTCTTCCGCTCTATATATATTTCGTTAGGCCTCATTTAGATTATGCTGCACAGTTCTGGTCTCCGTATTATAGAATGGATATAAATTCACTGGAAAACTTACAAAGGAGGAACACTGCAGCAAAGTTGATCCCATGTATCAGAAATCTTCCCTATGAGGATAGACTGTGGGCCCTGAATCTGCAATCTCTTGAAAGGTGTAGAATTAGAGGGGATATGATTAAGGGGTATAAATGGAAAACAGGAATTAATAAAAGGGATGTAATTGCGTGCTAAAAATATCTAGCCTAGATAAGACTCGCAACATTGGCTTTAAGTTGGAAAAATTCAGATTCACAAAGGATATAGGAAAGCAGTGGTTTGGTAATAGAGTTGTGGATGAGTGGAACAAACTCCCGAGTACCGTCATAGAAGCTAAGACGTGTAGTTTTAAAAACAGGTTAGATAAATGCATGAGTGAGTGTGGGTGGGTGTGAGTTGGACCTGACTAGCTTGTGCTACTAGGTCAGATGCCTTGCACCTTCCTTAAGTGAATGTGACTTGACCTGAATAGGTTAAAACATTGGGTTAAACCGGTGGTGAATCAAACCTACCTCGCAAGGGAAAGTAGGCCTGCTGCAGTGTTCCTTCTTTCTGATGTTCTTATGTTGCACTTGACACTGATGGGCATGGCGCCCTACCCTCGTTAGAGACGACCAGTGTGCTAATATTAAAATGAATATGTAGAATTATGTAATTCAGACTCGCAGGACCCTGTATCTAGCTCTCACATAATGTATTATAGACTACTTTTGCTCTTCATAGTACTCTGCTTTAACAACAACAACAAAAAAAAGCTGAAAGATAAGCTACAAATTACCCAAAACAAAATGGTGACATTCATTCTGGACCTGGGTCCTAGAGAACATGTAGGCCAGATTGAATTGCCAGAACTGGATGTGCTGAATATTGAAGACAGAGTAAATTAACTAAAACTAAATTACGTTCATATTTATTATTATTATTATTAAAGATTCGCCTGTATTCTCCCGGCCCGGGCCTTTTCCAAGTGGTGGCCCGGCCTTGGCTCCCTCTTTAGGGAGTGTCTGAGACCGAAGTCTCCCATGGGAGGAGACACAAGTACCTCCTCATCTTTGGGACCAACTGTCCCCAGGCCTAACCACAAGCTAGGCCTCTCTGGTCTGCCATCCCCGCCCCAAAGGGACTAATGGGAATGACAGGCTTGTGAGCTGCAAGCTCGGGCTCAGGCACCTACCCTACCCTAGAAGGGCTAGGCATGGTGTCGAACTACGTTCATAAAATTGCTTACAACCAGTGTCCGCAATATCTTACTGCCAATTCTGTTAAGACCGGGAACCAATGCTATTACAGAACTAGGGGAAGGGAGAACAACTTTTGTAGTACCTAGTGTCAGTGATCAGCCTTCAAAGTCATTTTTCTGTACTGCTGTAAAAGTGTGTAATAGACTGCCTGTACATGTCAACGCCTGTTATAACATGAGCTAGTTCAGGAAGAGAACCAAAATGTATCTCATGATTAAGGCTACAGAAAGGGAGGAGAGTGATTTCTTGTATGAAAATAACTAATTTTACCTCTCCTTTAGTATATCTTCTTTTATTGTAACTGCTTTTACGTAGTTAAAATACTTACCTGCTCTTAACTTTTAAATTTAAATAACAATTATCACAAGGACCCCAATAGAAATAATTCACTTTATCTGACTTTTTTTGGTTATCCTGGGTTCTCTACACATATGCTAATCAATATGATAATAAATGTCACAGTGTATATGTGAATAAACTTACTTACTAATTAATAATTAGCTAAGTTACGTAGAGCAAATTTTATATAAGTTATGGCAAAATTATTGTTTTCTGTTAAATGTTAGAAACAGAAAACGTATTTTTTTCTTTCATCCAGAACTTGGGTAATGACGAAATAATAATTTCTGGTTTATTGAAATGTCTCCTTCATACACTGATGGATGATTATTACAGTGGAACCTCAAATATCGAACTTAATCCGTTCCAGGAGCTAGTTCTCAATTCGAAAAGTCTGAAAATCGAAGCAATATTTCCCATAAGAAATAATGGAAATACAATTAATCCATTCCAGAATCCCAAAAATATTCACAAAAAAATGCATTTTATAGAGATTAATTACAGTTTTACATACACACAACATATACTATAGTGTTCAATTATGTATATACATATAAAAAAAATTATTTACCTTTATTGAAAATTGGTGATTGCATCAGGAAGATAGGGAGGAGGAGAGAGCGAGTTGGGGTTAGTGTTTGGAAGGAGAATCCCCCTCCATAAGGACTTCAGGTATCAAAGCCCTCTCTGGGGTTACTTCCGTTCTCTGTATTTTAATGTCACTAGGACCAGCTTGAGAGTCACTGGACCCCTGTCTCACAAAATAACTGTCTACAGTCGTCTGTTTATGTTTCACAAAATAACTGTCCACAGTCCTCTGTACATCCTGGCAAGCTCAACAAGTCTCACACCACTCTCATACTTCTGTATTATTTCCTTCTTCACATCTATGGTACTTCTCACTTTCTTTACCAAAGGGGTACCTCTAGCAAGTTTCTTTGGGCCCATGGTAGCTTATTTCACAGTCCCACAAGCACTAAACACAATGAAATAATCGTAAAATGTTTGAATGAGAGCACAGGTTAGTGTTCACTCAAGCATCAACAAAGCCAGGCTGGCTCACAGTGCCTGCACAGAGGCGCGGACAGAGATGGCTGGCGGACAGGTCTGGTACCCAACAGTCCGAAAAATAGTGGCACGTTCGATAACAGGGACAAAGTTGGTTCGAAAAAAGGGTTCTATTTTTGAAACGTTCGATAAGTGATATGTTCGAAATTTGAGGTTCCACTGTACTGTAAATAACTAGGTATTTTACTGTTTTTAATTCGCATAATACATAATCTTTAGTGACACAAATCCTACCAGTAATCAGAATTCACTAATTATTAATTATAAGGCCATTAGTTATTTTCTTACAGAAATAATGCATGTGGAAAATTATGGGGATGAGGTTCACAGGCATGTTCCTGAAATATTTCATCTGCATAATTTAAGGGGAGTACAAGTAAGAACCAATTTACTGAATTTACCAATGATAGTTGTACCTCAGAGCTTGGTGGGATTTAAGAGGCACTAGGCTGCACCACGTCTCTCCTTCCAGACCCACACACACTCTTTCCCACCCACAAGTAAAGTCACGCCTATAAAATTTATAAAGCAAAATTTATCTGGAGCACTCACCAAAGATATGTTGGATCACCATTAATTACTTGTAGAACACTTACTAACATCTAACAAATAGAATCTAAACTGTACAGTCAGTATTCTACTTGCTAGGTAACAATGGCGTACTCTTCTGGGTGTGTTGTTTATCTGGAGTTTACCTGGAGAGAGTTCCGGCAGTCAACGGTCCCGCTGCCCAGTCTGTGATCAGGCCTCATGGTGGATCAGGGCCTGATCAACCAGGCTGTTACTGCTACTGCACACAATCCAACATACGAACCACAGCCTGGCTGGGCCCTGACACTTATTGTGTTGTCTCTTAACGTGCTAGGGGCACCCCCACTTTTCATTGAGGGGATGTTGCATCGTCTGCCGAGTCTTTTGCTTTCGTAGGGAGTGATTTTTCATGTGCAATTTGGTGCTAGTCCCTCTAGGATTTTCTACATGTATATAATCATATATCTTTCCCGCCTGCATTCCAGGGAGTACAGGATCAGGAACTTCAAGCGTTCCCAGTAATTAAGGAAATTTATCTCAGTTATGCGTGCTGTGAAGGTTCTCGGTACATTTTCTAGGTCAGCAATTTCACCTGCCTTGAAAGTTGCTGCTAGTGTGCAGCAATATTCCAGCCTAGATAGAACAAGCGATCTGAAGAGTGTCATCATGGGCTTGGCATCCCTAATTTTGAAGGTTCTCATTATCCGTCCTGTCAGTTTTCTAGCAGATGCGATTGGTACAATGTTATGGTCCTTGAAGGAGAGATCCTCTGACATGATCACCCCCAGGTCTTTGACATTAGTTTTTTGCTCTATTGTGTGGCTGGAATTTGTTTTATACTCTGATAAAATTTTAATTTCCTCATGTTTACCACATCGGAGTAATTGAAATTTCTCATTGTTAAACTTCATATTGTTTTCTGCAGCCCACTGAAAGATTTGGTTGATGTCCGCCTGGAGCCTTGCAGTGTCTGCACTGGAAGACACTGTCACGCAGATTCAAGTGTCATCTGAAAAGGAAGACACTATGCTGTGGCTTATATCTCTGACTATGTCTGATATGAGGATGAGGAACAAGATGGGAGCGAGTACTGTGCCTTGCAGAACAGAGCTTTTCACCATCGCCGCCTCAGACTTTACTCTGTTGACTACTACTCTTTGTGTTCTATTTGTCAGGAAATTATAGATCCATCTACCAACTTTTCTTGTTATTCCTTTAGCACGCATTTTGTGCGCTATTACGCCATGGTCACACTTGTCGAAGGCTTTTGCAAAGCCTGTGTATATTACATCTGCATTCTTTTTGTCTTCTAGTGCATCCAGGACCTTATCGTAGTGGTCCAGTAGCTGGGACAGACAGGAGCGACCTGCTCTAAACCCATGTTGCCCTGGGTTGTGTAATTGATGGGTATCTAGATGGGTGGCAATCTTGCTTGTTAGGACCCTTACGAAGATTTTTATGATATGGGACGTTAGCCCTGTAGTTCTTTGCTATTGCTTTACTGCCCGCTTTGTGGAGTGGGGCTATGTCTGTTGTTTTTAGTAACTTTGGGGCGGCCCCAGTGTCCATGCTCCCTCTCCATAGGATGTTAAAAGCACATGATAGGTGCTTCTTGCAGTTTTTGATGAACACGGAGTTCCATGAGTCTGGCCCTGGGGCAGAGTGCATGGGCATGTCATTTATCGCCTGTTCGAAGTCATTTGGCGTCAGTCGTAACATCAGATAGGGTTGTCTTTACCAAATTCTGTGGCTCTCTCATAAAGAATTCATTTAGATCTTCGACTCTCAGTCTGGTTAGCGGCTCGCTAAAACCCGAGTCATATTGGGACTTGAGTAGCTCACTCATTTCCTTGCTGTCATCTGTGTAGGACCCATCTTGTTTAAGTAGGGGCCCAATACTGGATGTTGTTCTCGACTTTGATTTGGCATAAGAAAAGAAATACTTTTGGTATCTTTCGATTTCATTTATGGCTTTTAGTTCTTCCCGCGATTCCTGACTCCTATAAGATTCCTTTAGCTTTAGTTCGATTTGCTATTTCTCTGACCAGTGTCTCCCTATGCATTGTAGATATATTGGCCTCTTTTAGCAGCTCTGTTACTCTTTGCCTTCGCCTGTAAAGGGAGTGCCTGTCTGTTTCTATTTTACATCTACTCCTCCTTTTTCTTAAAGGAATATGCCTTGAGCATACATCGAGTGCCACAGAGTTAATCTGTTCTAGGCATAAGTTGGGGGCTATGTTGCTTAGGCTCCGTGCATACATGTCTGAACCTCGATTATGTTGTGATCTGAGTATATTGCTTTTGATATAGTGACATTTCGTATCAGATCATCATTGTTAGTGAAGATGAGGTCCAGTGTATTCTCCAATGTTGTAATGACGCCGCATCTCATCGAAGTCCCTAATGCGGTCTTATTGTGAATGTTTCAAGGGCAAATTCATCTGTACTCAAGCACACGAAGATTATAGATGACTTGATCCATTAGTGAGGCCTCCCCACAGTAGTTTGGCCTCGTAAACGCTCAATTACACACACAATCTTTAATCACATACTAGAGGTCCCTTAGAGCTAGTGATCACTTGGTTCTGAGCTTTGAATACATAGTAGAGTTACAAGTGGAGTGGATAACAAGAGTTGAATGAGAAAAACCAAACAATAAAAGGGGGACTACTCAGGTATGCGGAACTTCCTGCAGGAGGTTCAGTGGGACAGAGAATTGGTAGAAAAGTCAGTAAACAAAATGATGGAATACGTAACAACAAAATGCAAAGAGGCAGAGGAAAGGTTTGTTCCCAAGGGCAACAGAAATAGTTGGAAGACGAGAACAAGCCCCTGGTTTAACCGAAGGTGTAGGGAGGCAAGAGCTAAGTGCACTAGAGAATGAAAAAAGTACAGAAGGCAAAGGATCCAGGAAAATAAGGAGATCAGCCGAAGAGCCAGAAACGAGAATGCACTGATGAGGAGGGAGGCCCAGCGACAGTACGAGAACAACATAGCATCGAAAGTCAGGTCTGACCTGAAACTGCTGCTTAGCCACATTAGGAGGAAGACAACAGTCAAAGACAGGGTGATCAGGCTGAAGAAAGAAGACGGAAAACTCACAAGAAATGATCAAGACGCTCCCTCTACAGAAGACGACGAAGAGTCACTGAGCTCCTCAGGAGTGCTAGAATATCTGATACACGAAAGGAGGCGCTGACCAGGGAAGTGGAAACTATCGAACTTAAGCTGAATGACTCTTACAGGAACCAGGAGAGGCAGGAGGAGCTTAAAGCTATTAGTGAAATTGAAAGAAATTCAAAATATTTCTTTTCATATGCCAAAAACAAGGCAAATACCACATCTAGTATCGGGCCCTTACTCAGACAGGATGGGACTTACACAGACGACAAGGAAATGAGTGAAATATTGAAATCCCAGTACGACTCTGTGTTTAGTGAACCACTAACCGGTCTGAGGATCGACGACCCAAATGATTTCTTCATGAATGAGCCTCAAAACTCCATAAATGTATGCCAGATTTCCGACATTACCCTAACTCCGATAGATTTCGAAAAAGCCATTGACAACATGCCTATGCACTCAGCCCCGGGCCCAGACTCGTGGAACTCTGTTTTCATTAAGAACTGCAAGAAACCCCTCTCGCGTGCCCTAAGTACACTATGGAGGAGGAGCTTGGACATGGGTGAAATTCCACAGTCACTTAAAACAACGGATATAGCCCCGCTCCATAAAGGTGGCAGCAAAGCATTAGCTAAGAACTATAGACCAATAGCTCTGACGTCCCACATCATAAAAATCTTTGAAAGAGTGCTAAGAAGCAGGATTGCAAATCACCTGGATTCCCAAAATCTGCACAATCCAGGGCAACATGGGTTCAGGGCAGGTCGCTCCTGCCTCTCACAACTACTGGATCACTATGACATGGCCTTGGATGCACTGGAAGAAAATCAGAAAGCAGATGTAATATACACAGACTTTGCAAAAGCATTTGACAAATGCGATCATGGCGTAATAGCCCATAAAATACGTGCTAAAGGAATAACTGGGAAAGTGGGGAGATGGATCTTCAACTTCCTAACAAATCGAACACAAAGAGTAGTGGTCAACAGAGTTAAATCGGAGGCTGCCATAGTGAAGAGCTCTGTTCTACAAGGCACAGTACTCGCCCCCATCTTATTCCTTATCCTCATATCAGACATAAACAGAGATATTCACCACAGCACCGTATCATCCTTTGCGGATGATACTAGGATCTGCATGAGGCTGTCATCTGCTGAGGACGCGGTTAACCTCCAAGAAGATATAAACAAAGTTTTCCAGTGGGCAACGGTAAACAATATGATGTTCAATGAGGACAAATTTCAACTACTCCGTTATGGAAAACTGGAGGAGATAATAACTAGAACAGAGTATACTACTGTCTCCGGCCATACAATAGAGCGGAAAAATAATGTAAGGGACCTGGGAGTAGTAATGTCTGAGGATCTCACTTTCAAGGATCACAACAGTGCCACGATCGCACGTGCAAAGAAAATGATAGGATGGATAATGAGAACTTTCAAAACGAGAGATGCCAAGCCCATGATGATCCTTTTCAAATCACTTGTTCTCTCTAGGCTGGAATACTGCTATACATTAACATCTCCATACAAAGCAGGTGAAAACGCAGATCTAGAGAGTGTACAGAGATCCTTTACTGCACGTATAAGTTCTGTCAAGCACCTTAACTACTGGGAACGCTTGGAAGCACTTGACTTGTACTCGTTGGAACGCAGGAGGGAGAGATATATCATAATCTACACTTGGAAAATCTTGGAAGGAATGGTCCCAAATCTGCACACAGAAATCACTCCCTACGAAAGTAAAAGACTGGGCAGGCGATGCAAAATGCCGCCAATAAAAAGTAGGGGCGCCATTGGTACACTAAGAGAAAACACCATAAGTGTCCGGGGCCCAAAACTGTTCAACAGCCTCCCATCAAGCATTAGGGGAATTGCCAATAAACCCCTGGCTGCCTTCAAGAGAGAGCTGGACAGATACCTAAAGTCAGTGCCTGATCAGCCGGGCTGTGGCTCGTACGTCGGACTGCGTGCGGCCAGCAGTAACAGCCTAGTTGATCAGGCCCTGATCCATCGGGAGGCCTGGTCATGGACCGGGCCGCGGGGGCGTTGATCCCCGGAATAACCTCCAGGTAACCTCCAGGTATGTGAGGAGCTCAGCACGAGATTTAAGGAAGTATTGACAGTGGAGACAGGTAGAAACTCTGGGAAGACAGCACAGAGGGGGACACCAACAAGGAATATACCAACAAGTGTTAGATGACATACACACAACTGAGGAGGATTTGAAGAAGCTGCTAAGTGACCTTGATACCTCAAAGGCGACGGGACCGGACATCTCCCCGTGGGTCCTCAGAGAGGGAACAGAGATGCTGTGTGTGCCACTAACCACGATCTTCAACACATCCATCGAAACTGGGCAACTACCTGTGATATGGAAGATGGCAAATGTAGTTCCCGTTTTTAAGAAAGGAGACAGAAACGAGGCACTAAACTATAGACCAGTGTCACTGACACGAATAGTATGAAAAGTCATGGAGAAGATTATCAGAAAGAGAGTGGTGGAGCACCTGGAACAGAACAAGATTATAATTGACAACCAGCATGCTTTCATGGAGGGCAAATCCTGTGTCTCAAACCTCCTAGAGATTTATGACAAGTTAACAGAAGTAACACACGAGAGGGGTGGGTTGACTGCATTTTCTTGGACTGCGAAAAGGCCTTCAGCACAGTTCCTTACAAGGGATTAGTGCAGAAGCTAGAGGATCAGGCATACATAACAGGAAGGCCACTGCAATGGATCAGAGAATACCTGATAGGGAGGCAACAACTGGTCATGGTACAAGATGAGGTATCACAATGGGCGCCTGTGACGAGTGGGGTTCCACAGGGGTCAGTCCTAGGACCAGTGCTGTTCTTGGTATATGTGAATGACATGATGGGAGGGATTGACAACATACAAAATACTGCGTGGAATAGACAAGGTGGACAGAGGCAGGATGTTCCAAAGAGGGAACACAGAAACAAGGGGTCACAACTGGAAGTTGAAAACTCAAATGAGTCACTGGGAAGTAAGGAAGTATTTCTTCAGTCACAGAGCTGTCAGAAAGTGGAACAAACTGGATAGCGATGCAGTGGAGGGAGGATCCATACATGGCTTTAGGGAGAAGTATGATATAGCTCTTGGAGCAGGGACAGAGTAGACCTAGTAGCGACCAGCGAAGAGGCAAGGCCAGGAGCTTTGATTAGACCCCTACAACTACAAATCGGTGAGTGCACTCGCGCCCGTCTCTGAAATGCACTCCAGGGCTCTTCTACGCCCATTGCCACCCACCATGTTCACAAACTCCAGTACTCTTCCACTCTCAATCATCAACCCTCCTGAATTCCAGTACTTTTCCACTCTTAATCAACAACCTCCCGCAGACTCCAGAACGCTTCCACTCTCAATCATCAACCCCCCTGAACTCTAGTACTCTTCCACTCTCAATCATCAACCCCCCTGAACTCTAGTACTCTTCCACTCTCAATCATCAACCCCCCTGGACTACAGTACTCTTCCACTCTCAATCATCAACCCCCCTGAACTCCAGTACTCTTCCACTCTCAATCATCAACCCCCTGAACTCTAGTACTCTTCCACTCTCAATCATCAACCCCCCTGGACTCCAGTACTCTTCCACTCTCAATCATCAACCCCCCCGACTCCAGCACTCTTTCTTCCATTCTCAATCACCAACCCTCCAGACTCCAGTACTCTTTCTTCCACTCTCAATCATCAACCTCCTGGAGTCCAGTGCTCTTCCACTCTCAATCATCAACCCCCCAGACTCTAGTACTCTTCCACTCTCAATCATCAACCCCCCAGACTCTAGTACTCTTCCACTCTCAATCATAAACCCCCCAGACTCTAGTACTCTTCCACTCTCAATCATAAACCCCCCAGACTCTAGTACTCTTCCACTCTCAATCATAAACCCCCCAGACTCTAGTACTCTTCCACTCTCAATCATAAACCCCCCAGACTCTAGTACTCTTCCACTCTCAATCATAAACCCCCAGACTCTAGTACTCTTCCACTCTCAATCATAAACCCCCAGACTCTAGTACTCTTCCACTCTCAATCATAAACCCCCCAGACTCTAGTACTCTTCCACTCTCAATCATAAACCCCCCAGACTCTAGTACTCTTCCACTCTCAGTCATCAACCTCCCACAGACTCCAGTACTCTTCCATTCTCAATCATCAACCCCCCACTGACTCCAATACTTTTTGATACCTACTCATCCACCCGCATATTGCAGTATTCCTCCACGTCCAGTAACCCATCTGTCCTGCCCGCAGACTCAGCACCTCAGCTGCACTTGACGCCCACCGAGCAGACAGTATCTCCTGGGTCACCTGTCTCACTCAAGTGCTCAGCCGTAGGCATTCCCATACCTGTGATCACCTGGACCCACGACCACCAGCCCATCCTCACTTCCCACAGGTGGGTCACTACGGCATCACATTTATGCCTGGGAGTAATTTCTGTACAGCGGTTTGTTTTGTCTATTGGTGATTTTATGTTATTGTGTAGTGAGGGGTTTTGTTATAGTCAGCATTGTTTAGTAGTGTTCTGAAGTGTTTTCTTTGGCGTTACAAGTATCTGGCTGACATTTGCTTTCAATACTAAATTCGCTTAGCGAGTGTGTAAACGTACAATAATTAATGATTATTATTATAAATTATTTATTTGTTTTAATTATATTTTCAGCACATCCTCTTGTAATTTTTAATACAGTTGATGTAACAATTATATCTTAATTAATGAGGAGGGGGGTTGAGGTGAATGGTTGACATTACCAGCTGGGGTAATACTCAAAATCGTATGATTTTTTGTGAAGGACATCAGAATCTTTTGCTAGAAGTTCTATGAAGACTGCCTTAAAAAATCATTATGGTGACACCCATAACATGCTCACGCAAAATTGGTAGTATCAAAACTTCAGATACCGTTCGACGTCTTTCCTCCTGTCTTTGACCTTGTTCAACGATTCCGTGTTATTTATTCCTCTCTGCCTTATTTTTACGGTTTTCCTAAACCTCATAAACCTGACATCCATCTACGTTCCAGCATATCCTCCAGAGGTTCTGGCTCTTATTCTCTTCCAACTTGGCTGGCCAAAATTCTCACTCCCTTTCCTGATACCTTTTCGTCTGCTCGCCTCCGTCAGGTCTCCCGACCTTTAAGATACTTAGTCTTGACGTTGAGTCCCTCTTCACTAATGTACCTCCTGATGATCGTAATTTTCTCAGAGTGAAGGACAGTGAAGGGTTTCAACTCTCTATACGTACTCATGTCTTTTTTGATCTTATTAACCTTTGTGTGGACTCGTAATCTTTTTCCTATCAAGGTGAATTATATTCTCAAATCATTTGTCGATGCTCTTAACAATCTTCTTCCTTCCATCATGTTTAAAACTGAAAGGGAAATTTCACAGGAGTAGAGAGTTCTAGAGAGAAGAATGTCTGTTTAGAAAGTGAAAAGACAAAGTTTATGATATCGGAAGGGTAAGCGACAAGAGAAAATGAATTGCAAAGAGTGGAAATTTCCGAGTCAAGGAACTGAAGATCACGGATGCGGTGGGTATGGAGAAAGAGAAAACTAAGATCACTTCTCCTGACAGAGTGAGTTTGATAAGAGAGGTAGTGAATGTTCACGCCACGACATAGACAGAGATATACATCACAGCACCGTATCATTCTTTGCGGATGATACTAGGATCTGCATGAGGCTGTCATCTGCTGAGGACGCGGTTAACCTCCAAGAAGATATAAACAAAGTTTTCCAGTGGGCAACGGTAAACAACATGATGTTCAATGAGGACAAATTCCACTTACTCCGTTATGGAAAACTGGAGGAGATAATAACTAGAACAGAGTATACTACTGACTCCGGCTATACAATAGAGAGGAAAAATAATGTAAGGGACCTGGGAGTAGTAATGTCTGAGGATCTCACTTTCAAGGATCACAACAGTGCCACAATCGCACGTGCAAAGAAAATGATAGGATGGATAATGAGAACGTTCCAAACGAGAGATGCCAAGCCAGTGATGATCCTTTTCAAATCACTTGTTCTCTCTAGGCTGGAATAGTGCTGTACATTAACATCTCCATTCAAAGCAGGTGAAATCGCAGATCTAGAGAGTGTACAGAGATCCTTTACTGCACGTATAAGTTCTGTCAAGCAACCTTAGCTACTGGGAACGCTTGGAAGCACTTGACTTGTACTTGTTGGAATGCAGGAGGGAGAGATATATTATAATCTACACTTGGAAAATCCTGGAAGGAATGGTCCCAAATCTGCACACAAAAATCACTCCCTACGAAAGTAAAAGACTGGGCAGGCGATGCAAAATGCCCCCAATAAAAATTAGGGGCGCCATTGGTACACTAAGGGAAAACACAATAAGTGTCCGGGGCCCAAGACTGTTCAACAGCGTCCCATCAAGCATTAAAGGAATTGCCAATAAACCCCTGGCTGCCTTCAAGAGAGAGCTGGACAGATACCTAAAGTCAGTGCCGGATCAGCCGGGCTGTGGCTCGTACGTTGGACTGCGTGCGGCCAGCAGTAACAGCCTAGTTGATCAGGCCCTGATCCATCGGGAGGCCTGGTCGTTGACCGGGCCGCGGGGGCGTTGATCCCCGGAATAACCTCCAGGTAACCTCCAGGTAACCAGGCTTGCGATAAACGAAAAAAAAAGTCTTGTAACCGAGTGATGGTCATATACATAAAGAATTTTCTCATTCTACTTCCTCTTTCTTCCTCTTATCTCGCTTCCTCCGACTCCTCTCTCTCAACTTTCACTATCTCTGCCTCCACTTCCTCCATTTACCATCATTATCCCCAGTTAAGCATCCCCTCCATCTCTGACACGTATCGTTCCTACAGGACCCGGGTGGGAAGCTTCAGAACAGAGATTGAAGAAGTGGTGAGCCAAGTGAACCTGAGTTCGGTGACTGTCCGTGACGGAGGCTCCTACACCTGCACCGCCCATAACACTGCCGGCTCCGTCGCACACTCCACCAGGCTCAACGTTTATGGTAACATGCTCCTAACACTTATTGATCATATAAAAAATGATTTTTTGTGGTTCTTTTGATCAAAGGCTATTATATACACTATTATAATTTCATACGCAATACTTAAATTACAAAACACTTATGAACACACTTGAAGGTGGAATAAAAACACTTTAATTCTGGAGTTATCTTGGTTTACCAGGTAAAGTGAAGACACATTTAGCACAAAATTTATATACAGGAGAAAACTACGAGAAGGTCTTGTGTTACATCAGGTTTCTGGTGCACTGCAAGTGGACCAGAAACCTGATGTAACACGGCAAGGCTCAGCTCGCACGGTGTCTTCTGGGAAGGAGATGTAGGATACACACATCAATAGGAATGTACGTTTTCTCCTGCAACATGTCTGCCATGATATCTTCTTCCCAAAAACATTGGAAAGGATTTTCCATAGCCTAAATATCTTGACAAACTTTCTTCTACTCGTTACTCACAGCGCCAAGATTTTGGTGAAAGAAAACTAGACGGGAATGTAAGAATAATGTATTTTCATTGATATGTGACGCTCTGTTTGTTTATTTGTACTAATTCGATACTGGACTTTATCTTCGTATATAAGTGACTTGTAGTCACCCCCTCCCCCCCAAAAAAAAAAGTCAGTTACAAATCTGAAACTCTGTCATATTTATAATTCTAATATATTGAGGCTTTCTTAGCATTGCAGCACCATCGTTTTCAAATTTCTCAAAACAATGTTTTAAAACCTTCTCAAATTCTCGATTCCCATTACTTTAACAAAAAAATCATTAAACAGTGCTGAATGTGGAAAGGCGGCCGGATAATTTTTTGTCACTAACGGAACACTGAAAACTGCTCATTGCTGGTTCATATGTACTTCTCTGCCTTTCACGTTTAATATAATGATCTGCACCACTAGGGTTGTCCCTTAGCCATACGACATAACTGATTCGTCAGCTCATCTTGCATACACATATCATTGACATTAAGATCTCTATAGTCATTCCATTGATGAGGGCATTATTAGACTGCACAGTGTGGGAGCTTCATGTTATCTTAGGTATCTTGTAGATGTACGCAGCCCAGGATCAGTATATATAGCTTAACATTTCTGTAAGATAGAACAGTTTTCATGCTCTGCTGTCAAGAATCCATGAAAAAGATCCCAATCAGATGTTAGGAATTGATGCAACAACTTCGTGAGAAATCCTTTGAAATCACAGCAATAACAGAGTGGACCGTCGACTATAAAGAATGTCTCTAAATTACTATCACATTTTAGATATTGACATTATTACGTTCATGTTCTGCTTTCTCTAGAGTGTTGGGTCTCCAATAAAGTAATTCAACTTTGGTAAAAGTTTCAGCTCTAGTTTCCGTGCAGGTATGTACCGAGGGTTGGTAGAAGCTCCTGGATCTTGTCTTTTATGAAATCTGGTCCATCCTCCGGAGGGAGAAGAACTAGTAATGTTTCATAACTAGTGACTATTTGGTGCACTGAATCCAGGATAAACTATCTTATGCCTGGCTATACTATCTTATGCCAGGATAAACTCTCTCATGTCTTGTCTTACTCCATTATACAGCATCCAAGTTCTTTCTGCTTTAGCTGAACCAATCACGTAAGACATTCGAATATGCGGTGCAGATTAAATATGGCGCCCATTCATTATCTTTGTCTCCCAGTTCACAGCCGAAGAATTTCTAGTAAATTTTCTTCAGATTCATCGTAAGGTTCACCACTGATATTTTGTGAATACACTAGGTACGTACACTAGGTACGTACACTAGGTACGTACACTAGGTACGTACAAGGAATTGTCAGGGTGATTTGTGTACACTCGAGGCATCCTGATGATAAGGCCGATATCAATAAAGGGGAACAGAATAAATATTCCTGCATAAGAAAGCATAAATTGTATATCAGACGCCTACCCGATGCACTTATGAAACTGAGCCAGATCACTATAGTGTGAACCATTACACCCAGATCATCACTGTAATAACTTACAACACTCTAACACGCTGTTCACGAAATGTACAGATATTAATTGGTAGTCTGTCGTCTAGTGGCTTTCTTCACTAGACGACAGAGGTACACTTAGCTTTGTTATACACAGTCGCCCAACCTCCTATCTGGACTCAGTCGCTGTGTCAGAGCTTAATACTGTTTACCGATCAAAAGTTTAACCCCGAAGATCCTCCTTCCCTCCCTCCCTCCCCCCTTTTCCAAAAAAAAGCGCATGTTTATAGAAGATTATTATTATACGTATTAAAAAAAGAAGCGCTAAACGACAAGGGCTATACAGCGCTGCAGGGCAGGGAAAGATGTGAGGGTGTCGGGTAGTAACAGGGAGAGGGATGATCAGTAGGTTATGGAGTACAGCGGTGCAGTGGATAGTGCAGGGGTAGAGGGTAGCAAGAGATTGAGGTAGAAAGGACTGAGCGGAGTGCTAGAGGCATCATCATCAGAGTTTGTGGAGTAAATCACTTGTTGTCAAAAAGTCAATAAGAGTCCGGATTAAAGGAGGGTCCATCAGCAAGAAGGGAAGGTAAAGAGAGAGTAGCAGAGCGGAGACGACGTTGGAGGTAAATTCCGCGTGCTCGTTGATGGACTGGGCAGGTCAACAGAATGTGGCTAACAGATACTGGAACCTGACAATTCTCACAGAGAGGAGCAGGGCGCCTCTCCATGAGATACCCATGAGTAAGACGAGTGTGGCCGATGCAAAGATGGGAGAGAGTAGTCTCCCAACCTCGACACTGACGACAATAAGACGGTCAGTAACCTACACTCGGTTTACTAGAATGAAGTTTGTAATAGAGCAGATTAGACCAACGTTGTTGCTAATGGGTGCAAAGGTGGGTAGCAATTACAGCAAAATAGTCCATGAATGGAACACCTCTATATGAAACTGGGAGGTCATGCACTGCTGACCGCGCAGCAGTGTCTGCCTGTTCGTTGCCCTGTACGTCAACATGACCAGGGACCCAACAAAAAACAATATCTTTATGCTTGGTAGAGACACAGCGTAACCAAAGTTGGATACGGAGAACTAGGGGTGAGGTGTATCAAATTTTCGTATAGCCTGTAAAGCACTAAGGGAGTCTGAAACAACTACAAATGAAGGCACAGGCATAGATGCAATATGGATAAGTGCTGCAAGAATGGTATACAATTCAGCAGTAAAAATGCAAGCCGAGGATAGTAAATGCCCTCACATGACACTGTCCGGAAACACTACTGCGAATCTGATGTCGCCAGAAGACTTAGAGCCGTCTGTGTACACTGCGATGGCATGAGAATGAGAGCGGAAGTGATCAAGAAAAAGAGAGCGGGAAACTGCCGTAGGTAGTTGGGCTTTTACGCAAGGCAGTGAGAAAGAACAGACACGAACAGCTGGAACTTCCCAAGAGGGTAGGGAAAAGTGCGATGCTACATGAACATAGAAAGGTGGTAACTGAAAGGAAGACAAGAGTGAATATAGGCGAAGAGAAAAGGGACAGAGTAAACAGGGGCAACGAACAAATAAAGAATGTCTACTAACATCAGTGACTATTCTATATACGAAGAGATTGTGGAGATCATGAGAGCGAACATAATAGTGAAGGCAATGAGCATCACGGCGATCAGAGAAGGATGGAATATTCGCTTCTGCATAGAGACTCTCAACAGGTGAAGAGAGAAAAGCACCAAGCCATAAACGTAATCCTTGGTGATGGATGGGGTTAAGGCTGTAGAGAGTAGTAGGAGAGGTCGCCGAATAGATCTGGTCACCATAATCGAGTTTCGATAAACTTAGGGCTAAATGTAGGTGAAGGAGAGTTCTACGATCAGCTCCCCATGAAACATGAGCAAGGGTTTTAAGAAGGTTCAGCCTACTGTGACAAGTTGCTTTCAGAGAGATAATGTGATGTTTCCAGTATAACCTTCGGTCAAACAGAAGGCAGAGAAACCTGACCGTATCACGTTCAGGGATACATGAACCGTAGAGGTACAATGGATTATCAGAGATGACAGAACATCTAGTGAAAGTAATTTGGTGAGTTTTAGTACTGCAAAATTTAAACCCATGTGTGGTGGCCCAATTGGAAACACAGATGACCGCATGCTGGAGAGAAACTGCAATGAGGCGAAAGTCAGCGCCTGCACAAGCTATAGCGAAGTGATCAACATTGAGTGATGACAAAATACTGGAGGGAAGAAGAGAGGCCAAATCTTTTATAGCAAAAGAGAAAAAGTGTTGTGCTCAGAACACATCCCTGGGGGATACCTTCAGCATGGACAAAGTCCAGGGAGTCCATATCATTAACCCGAACACAGAAATGTCTGTCAGTTGAGAAGTTCTTAAGGAAAAATGGTAGATTGCCTCGGAGGCCTAAGGAGTGGGCTTTGGCCAAAATATTATACCTCCAGTACCTGAGTGGTTATTCGCAAAGGCATTATGAACATACGTATCCAAGCGTAGCAAGGAGTCAATGGTAGAACGGCCCTTACGAAAGCCATATTGACTAGTGGAGAGACTGCTGTGTCTCTAAATACCACATTAAACGTCTATATAACAGACGTTCCATCACCTTGCAAACTGCACTGGTAAGAGAAATGGGACGATAGTGGGAGGCATCATGTCCTGTAGCACCCGGTTTGCAGAAAGGGAAAACAATGGCATATTTCCACAGCTGGGGAAGAACTCCTTATGACCAAATAAGATTAAAGAGTCGCAAGAGGACTGCAAGGGCTGATTGATGTAAATGTTGTAACATCTGAATATGAATGCCATTAGGTCCAGCTGCTGATGATCGGCAAGCTGAAAGTGTTGCCTCCAGTTCCAGAAGTGTAAAAGGCACATTATAAGATTCTTCTTGGAGAGAAGAAAAGTCTAAGGCGCTAACTCTCTGGCAGACTTTGAGGAAAGAAACGACGGGCATAGATGGGACCCTTGAGAAATACGGACCAGATGATTACCAATTTCAATGGCAACGTCAAGAGGGTTTGCTATATC